TGTTTGCAAATATTTCAGTTCTCACTGTCCTGCTGAGGCGCTGTTATTGTGGTGACTGATGGTGTCAGCATTCTCCTCGAATCTTGTTTGTTTGACACTTTGTCATTTCGAAACCACAACAAAAAGCTATATTTATTGTAAAAAAAAGTGCCCTATATTTTTACCCCCACACTGACAAAGACGTCTGCCTGCAGACCTGAGGGGTGTCATGTGATTCCTTCTAGGACAGCTAGATAATTATTTTTCTAATTAAATCCTCCAACCGGGTTTTCTAGGCCTTTGAGAAAAGACTTTTATCAGAGTGGATTTTTTACATTAAAAAAATTCAGAACACGAGAACGCCCCTTTGATTTGAGTGAAAGATATTTGGTGTCGTCAGGTAAACTTAGATCTGAAACAAAAGATGAAAGACGTGATCTTCAAACATGAACAGATTTGATCGTTCAGTCACTCCTCATCATCAGTTCCTCCTGATATCACGCTGTCAGTTTCTCAGGGTTGTAATAAGTATCTACAGAACTTCTTGAAGTGACTGTGGCTCAGAAATCCATGCATATATTTATGTAGTTGGGGGTCAAGGTCACAGTGTCCTTCCAGAACAGTGGCTGAAAACAATAGGTTGGTCTTACTTTATATCAATATTAAAAAACATCTGTTCATCTCATCGACATGGTGTCGTACCTCTGGTCAGGTTGGATCGTTTTTTAAACCACCTGGGCCATGACGTCACATGGTCCACAACCAGTTCTCTCACTCTATGACCCCCCTCCCCCCTATCCTTTATACATGAAACATTTATCAGGTCTTGTCTGTGAAGATGATGTCTGGTACCGTGTGACAGTTTTGGCCACGTCTCTTCATGCTTGTCATGAAAGTTGTGTGGATATTTCTGGCTGCTGCATCATTACATCAATTAGGGTGGGTTTAAGTATTACACACAGAAAAGGGAGTACACAGTATAGTAGGGCGTGGCTTTGTATACTTATACCTCTGTACTATCTTTGTCTGTGAGTCCGTCTGCACACGTGGACCAGCAGCTCCACTGTCTGTGGTGATGGATCCTCTCTGTTGCCGAGCTCTGCTGAGGTTGCATCTTCCCAATGTGGAAGTCATTGCTCATGATGGGACCCAGTGATGCTCACTCTGGAACACGCCGCTGGACAGAGGAGCCGTCTAGAATGACTTTCCTGCACGGGCGGGTGGTCATGGAAAATCCTGACCGAGACACCCTTAACATAAAAAACTAGGTCTACATATACATGTATAATATATATATATATACACACATATGTAATTTAAAGATGACTACATTTGTGAAAGGTCTCATCACGACCTCTTTACAGTACCTCTTTGGACCCCTTTGAGTTTGCGAACCCCGTCTTGGAAACCTCAGATTTTTGAGCAAAGAAAGTACCAGTAAACCTGTGTCCGTCTGACCACGATGAGTCTTTTATCCATATGCAGACACAAAAAGTGGCATGAGGTCAAGTCCCAGGGAAGTGGGACAGAAGTGTCACAAAGACTCTGGGACTTGACGGCTGAATGGTGACGTCCGCCGTGGCTGGGG